AAGCTGCGAGGTGTAGCTGCCTCCCCACCTCAGGTTCCCCAGGTGTCTGTGGTTTTTGTTTTGTTCCTTTTAGAGACGCCGTCCCTCTGTTGTTCTGTTGCCAGGCGGCCCCTGGGCTCAGGCCCTCTTTCCGCTCTGATCCGTCCAGCAAGGGAAGCAGCCTGAAAAGAGCCTTCCCCTCTGCCCCTTGGGACCTGGCTTGCCAGGCGCGGGAGCCCGCGGGAGAACTGAGCCCAGTCACCTTGCCAGTGTCTTCCGGCCGCCTTCCCTCACCTCCGGGCTCCTGGAAGGTAGCCTGACCCTCGGCCGCGTTAGGCGGCTCGCGAGGGTTGTCTGGCATCGTGTGTGTCCTTCTTACTCTGTTGCCACTTGGGCGGACTTTGGAAAATTCTTACTAATGGAGGATTTCGAAAATGCCAAGTAGAGGGAAGAGTGTAATTAGCTCGTTACTTGTGTACATTTTGGTGTAATTTCCTGCAGAGTGTATTTTTTTATTTATTTATTTTTTTTCTGTGCTGTCAGCCCGCCTAAGTCCCTTTGGAAAAATGTACCGTTAAAAAGTAAACCTAAAAATGGGCTCCAGCCATTCTGCAGACTCCGTTGTAGCTTTCCAGATGTGCTTTTCTCGGCCATTAAAATGTGTATGTGGACAGTGTCTTAGCGGCATCTGTCAGGGCAGGGCCCCATCCTCATAGAGGACAGCAGGCCAGCTGGCCGGCCGCAGCCTTGCGGGGGCTGCAAGCAGGTAGGGAGACAGTGGGTCACGAGCGGCTCTGCGTTCAGCGGGACCTCAGCCTCCCCGGCCCAGTCCCACGGGGTGACGCGACAGGCCCTGACGAGGGCCACGCTTGAATTGGATCCGTCTGCAGTTGAGGGGCCGAGGACCAAGCACCTTTGGTAGCGAGCAGCGGACAAGCCAGGCCCCCTCCCCTGGGAGCCAGCGAGTTGCGCTGTGGTCTCCTTGACCAACCAGATGTGGCCAAAGAGACGTGCAGGGACGCCTGGGTCCCCTGGCGGCCCGCCTCTGCCAAACGCCGCACGTGTGGGTGCACCACCATTTAATTAGTTACCCCTCTTGTTGGTTATTTAGAAGTTTCCACTTTGGTCCCACGACAGGGTCATCCCTGTAACGTTGGTGGTAAAACTTCACCCACATTTCTGAGTATTTTCTTAGGCTAGATTCCAGCAAGTACGATCCGTCCCTTTCACAACTGCATCTCACACGAGTGTTTGATTGTATTAGTTTGCCCTCCTGACACTGAAGTGTTTTATTTTTAATTTATTTTTATTCCTTGTTTTTTTTAAAGTAGGCTCTACTCCCAACGTGGGGCTTGAACGCACAACCCCGAGATCAAGAGTCCAACGCTCCACTGACTGAGCCAGCTGGGCTCCCCTTATTGAATTGATTTTTAGTATTGGCTTTTTGATACAATGTTGAAATCTTCTTTTCTTTCTCCTCTCAGTGTTGGAGTGAACATTGGCTGTTCTAAGATCTTGTCTAGTGTCTGCGGGAGTCATTTAACCCCGGGTCCGTTTGAATGTATTCACAGCTATTTATTGAGCATCTGTTGGGAGCTGGGCTCTGTGCAGGCCCTGGGGTTGGGCATGAGCAGAGCCCTCAGGGACCTTAGGCTGTAGATAGAAGAAGCTGGTTTTCTGTGGATAGTGTGTGTCATCTAATTTCATTTCTCCGTTGAGTTCAGATGAGGGCTTCTTAATAAAGTTAAGGTGGGAACCCATCTGCCTTCAATTTCGTGGATTGTCGTAGGCATTTTTCTCATGCTTAAAAAATTTTTTTTTAAGTTTGTTTATTTTTGAAGGAGGAGGGGCGGAGAGAGAGGGAGAGGGAGTTCACACGAATCATGATGTCGTTGTGAACAGATAGGTTTTTAAAATCGTTTATGGTAGGAGAGAAGACCGTCTCTGTTCAGACAGGGACACCGTGGTTGAAAGGAGCTTGACTTTTTTGCTTCATAACTTACCCCCCCCCCCCACTTTTGCCAAAAGGCATTGTTACAGATCCTTCATCGGTCAGCCTAAATTTTATTTAAAACTGGCCATCTTGTGCCTTGGGCAGATTCTCAGTCTTCTCTAAGGGCCACTGGACTAGGGTAATGACGCAGTCCTACCTGCCTCTCAGGGTCAGATGAAGGGTCCAGTGAGGTGCTCCGTGTACGTCAGTTGGGGAGTCGACACGCACAGGTGCCTGGGGAGTGTCAGCACCGGTGGCCGTCACCAGCAGGCGCCGCCCAGGGCTTCATGGGCTCCACAGCAATCCGACACACCAGAGGTGACATTTAAACGTCTTTAGTCATAACGAATACATTAATTCCCACTTGACTGTTGGAAGAAACTCTTCGGGTTCCCTTTTCTTGTAGTTTTTTTTTTTTTTTTTTTTTTAATTTAACGCATACTTACCTATGGTAAACTGTATCCATTCATGATTTTATTTTATTTAAACTGTATCCATTTGAAGTGTGCGGTTTGATGAGATCTATCTGACAGATTTTTGCCCCGGTGAAGGCGCAGTTGCGGTGAAGAGGTGAAGATCCGGGAACACTTCATTGCCCTGAGAAGATTCTCCCTTGTCTGTTTGCAGCCCAGCCCTCCCTCCCACGGATCTGCCTTTTGTCACTACAGATTAGTCTGCGTTCCCCAGAATTTTATATTAATGGGATCATACAATGTATTCTCTTGCGCCTGGCTCTCACACAGCGTGAAGTGCATGAGATCATTGTTGGGAGTGTCAGTCTTCCCTTTTCATTGCTGAGTTATTTTATTTCTACTATCTGCACAGACCACATTTTATTCATCCATTCACCTGTCACGAAGATGTGGATTATTTCCAGTTTGGGGCCACCGTGAATTAAGCTGCTGTGAGTGTGTGTGTGTGCGAGTCATTGTGTGGGCGTCTTGGGTTAGTACCGGTGGAACGGCTGGGTTATACGGCAGGGTTTTCTTTTCCCTCGAAGATGTTTTATGTAGAATGTAATAGAGGTAACAAGGACTGGTGTGTGTAAATGGTATGCAACAGTCCCGAAATAAGTGTTAGAAAAGCTTTTACTGATTGTAAGCATAACGTGCCAGTCTGTTACAGAACGTTTTAATATATTTTGCATCAAATAAGAAAATCAGCATTTACCCCCCCCAAAAAAAAGTCACAGAGTAAATGAAAACATTTTTTTTTCCTTGTTCTTGTAGTAAAAAAATCACAGTTTTGAACTTCCTTAAAATTGGGGAGAAAGCCTCGCACAAAATTACAAGTATAAATCGCTGTGGCTGGGCCCCGTGCAGGGTTGGGGGGAGAAGGGGCCCTTGGGAAGGTTCCGTCAGCATTGTCTGCTTCTCCTGCGCTCTCCCCTTTCCAGAGCTCCTCTGTGTGTCTGGGGGAGCTTCTCTGCAGTTCATGCTCTCGCGCATGACGTTTATGACACAGCCCGCATGGGAGAGTCTGCCGCGCTCCGTGGGCCTAGCGGGAGAGGCGCCCTCTCCTGTTACTAAGGTGTTTGCCCCCTACTGGGCTATACCACCACCCCGGGGTAAATCTTCTTTAACGATGGGGGGGGGGGTGTGTGTTTGTTTATTTACTTATCTATTTTTTGAATGTTTATTGTTTTGAGAGGGGGAGAGAGAGGGAGAGAGAATCCCAAGCAGGCTCCACGCCGTCCGCACAGAGCCCAACCGGGAGAGCGTGACCTGAGCCCAGACCGAGAGTCAGACTTCACTGGCTGAGCCGCCCAGGCGCCCCAGTTTTTTAATTCATTTTTAAGTAGCTCCCACCTCCAGTGTGGGGCTTGAACTCACGACCCTGGGATCAAGAGTCGCATGCTCGACGCGCCCAGCCAGGTGTCCCTGTTAGCATTTTGTTTGTTCATTTGTTTTTAAGGGATTTTTCTATAGAATTTTTTGAGACCAGTTCTGTTGTTTGGGGGTTCTGGGTGTTTGAACTCCCAGGTAGATGATCTACTTTGGAATCAAGGTATTGATTGAAGGTTACTCTGAAGAATCCGTAGTTTACGTCCCCACACAAGTTAGGTGGCAGGGGTCAAACTAACTGAAATTGGGGGACGTTGGTCTTTGCATAGTTGCAGTGTGGTGAGTCGCCGATTGCGTCTGCTTAGTGCCTTGTGACGTGCTGTTTTCCATCATCATTGTTAGTACTACTTAATTAAATGCTTGGGGTCTCCTGCAAGACTCCCCGGACCTCGCGGAAGCCCCGTGTGGCTGACGACCGGTGCCAGCAGCCGTGTGGTCCTGGGTTTACTGTCTGTCAGCCTTGCGGGGGGGCGGGGGGCATGAGAAGCCTGGCCTCAGTGTCCTCACGCTCCTGGGTGCTCACCCTGTACTCCCCTCGCTCACTCCAGCACGCGCCTAAGGCCTTTGGGGATGGAGGAGTCAGTCTTTGGTGGGGGGGGGGGGGCGGGGCGGGCCGGGGGTGGGACCCCTGGGGGCGCCCCCTTTTTTTTTTTTTTCTTGATGTCACTGTTTCCCAGCCGAGATTATAGATGACTTTTGGGCGGGACTGTCTTTTTCCTTTTTCTTTTCTTTTTTAAAATTTTTATTTGTTTTTGCGACAGAGGTAGAGCATGAGTGGGGAAGGTGCAGAGAGCGAGGGAGACACAGAATCCGAAGCAGGCTCCAGGCTCCGAGCCGTCAGCACAGAGCCCGACGCGGGGCTCGACCTCACACACTGTGAGATCGTGACTTGAGCCGAAGTCGGATGCTTAACTGACTGAGCCCCCCAGGTGCCCCTGGGCAGGACTGTCTTGTACTAAACAAACAAGTTGTTTTACGGTACTACCTGTAGCTTTGAATTTAATGAGGCATTTTACACTTTCAGGATAAAAGTTCATCTGTACGAGCACTTGGTGAGGGGAGGTTTGTGGCACTATTTGCATTTCCGTGGTCAAAGTTACAAATTAACTTACGTGCCTGCAAAGTTCCCGGGGGCAGCAGCACTGATCCCCGTGGCTCTGAAACCCGGTGATTGATGGTAGAAGCTTTACTTCAATTAGATCCTCTTAAAAGGTGACTTGTGTGAAAATCACTGCGAAACACATCTGGTAAAGCTCTTTCCTTTACAGCCAGAGGGAGCACTAGATAAAATTTCTTTCTTTTCCTTGCACACTCTGAACTACGGGGAGTGGAGAAAGGAGTCAGCGAGTGGAGACCACACCACCAGCTTTGTCGCGGGGGGTAAGGGGCGGAGGAGTCGCCTGATGTGGAGCCTCTGGGAAAAGGTGGCGAACGTGTAAAGCAGGTCACGTTTCTCACGGTTTCTTCCCTGCTGATCGGATCTTCTGAACTTGGGAATTCCGGTCTGACCTGACCCGCAGCGTCACGTGCTGCCTTCCTTCGAAGTCTCCTACGTTCATACAGCCCCTCCTCATTACTCGTGGGTTCCATATTCATGAATCTGCCTTCTAACGTTTATTTGTAACCCCAGATCAGTCCCCAGAGCAGTGCTTTCGTGCTTGGGAACACGTGCGGGCAAGTGGAAACTGCCTGGCGCCCCCTGAGGGTTCGGGGGGCGGGGGGGGGGACACGGCACCGCCCTGCCCCCCAGTTGTCACTCCCCCTGCCGTAAACAGGGTCCTTTTTGCGGCCCGTTTAGTGCTGTGTCTTCCCCCTTGTGTTGGTGATTTCGCCGTTTCAGGCAGCCCCGAGCACAGTGCTGAGGTGCTGTCCGTGTCCCCGCGTGCAGGGAGGCTCTGATGTGCCCCACCGAGATGTGGCAGATGAGCTTCCTCCAGGCCTGAGTTCAGTGTCGGCGAATCAACAACGTAGACTAAACGAGATGCCCTTAAACAGAAACACACCTGAGGTGAGCCTGGATATTGACGGCTGAGAAAATGTGATCAGGGGGCTCGCAGGAACCCAGCCCTGCTCTTTCCCGGGAACGCCGGTTTAGTGCCTGGCCGTTGCTGGGACACGACTACCCCAGTCACTACAGTGGGCTGTCTCTGGCCCTGTCCCTCCCTCCAGGCTTCAGGCTCGGCCAGCTTATGCCTCATTTACCATCCCTCTGGGGTGTCTGAAGGGGGTCTCCCGTGAACTCAGGGTGACACAGCTCTCCCCGTCCCAGGAAATAGCACGTCTGTCCACATAGATGTGCAGGTCAGATGTCGGGAAATCAACCCGGACTCCCTCCTTTCATTTTCCAGTTCATCCTGCCTCCAAAACATGTCCCCAAGCAGTCTGCCTGCCTCTGTCTCTACCGCCTGCCGCGTTAGAGGAGCCCCCCGGCCCTGCTGCCCACAGTGCCGCCCCGGCTTCCTGTGATAGATGCCACTGTGTGCACCTGTCATGCTCTCCCTTTTCCGGGCATGTGAGCTGTGCCGGCGCTTGATTGGCTGTGCCTTTTCAGACCCAGAGGAAGCAGGCCGAGAAATGCTTCGGGCAGCATTGGTAAGGGTTTCCCCGGGTCAGGGCTGCTTCTGCAGCCCGAGACCGGCCTCTAAACCTGGTAGGAATATTTGTGAGGCTGGAAGGGATTTTTTTTTTTTTTTTTTTTTTAAGGGAATAAACGTCTAAACAGTAGTTCAAGTAAGAGCTTGAAGAAAATCTTGAAGGAACGCCCTTTCAAAAGTAGAGTTTTCTTGTTCGGATCTTACTGAAACCACTGCCTTCTGGAACAAGGGGAGGAGATGTTACCACGGTGGTTTCTGCCCGGTTTGTTTAAAAACCAGTAACGGATGCCAAGAAAAAAGCTTAGTCCGGCCGACTTCTGTGGTGCCACCCGTGCCCTCGTTGTCCTGCCTCACGACAAAAAGCGGGCACGGCCCGCCTTCCTCCCCAGCTCCTCTGTGGTGTGATGGCTTCGTCCCCACTGGTCCGGTTTGTTCTCTGTCAGCTGAGTAAAAGGATGGGCGGAGCGCACAGATTTTGTAACATTCGTCTTGCGGTTTTACAGAGAAAGGGGTGATGTATAATTAGAAAGGCCGAAAGGGAGCAGAGGAGACAGGAAGGAGGCGCGCAGCACTTGTGCAGCGGAGTGGATGTCCGGGGCAGAAACGCGCTTTCCCCGCCCCGACCTGTGCCGAGGCTTTGAGTTTTCAGAGAAGCGCTTGAATTGCACGCCACGATGTTCACCGTTTTCGTACCCGGTGAAGGCTGGGCATTTTCTCGAAGCCCAGAACACCCAGTGAATGAATTTGATCTTCCCTGCTTCTCATACTAATTTTGTATTCCTCCAAGTAGTAGAAGTACCAGAAAGATCCCTTCTGGAAATATCGGTGGAGTTTATCATAAACGATTGGTGCTTGTAATGCTTTACTTTAATCGAGTTAAAGGATGAACTTTCCAGGTAGCTTTTTCTCCATGCCCTCCTACAAAGCTGTTAAACTTGTTTGATCCTTAAATATTTTCCTTTTGACCCAGGACGGTGTGAACCGTCCATTCATTCTACAGTGGGATGATGAGTGTTTATACTGAGCTGATGGAATACCTAATGCGATTATTAAAAGCGTGTGAAGCTGGCTCGGCAGACGCTTTTCATCTTTGGGAATGGGAATCTTAGATCACAGAACCATCAAATGGTCAGAAGTGAAACTCGTAAATGCGAGTCAACACTTTGAGTTTGTTTCCTACGTACGGGGCATGGTGGGCGACGGGAGAGCGCCGTGGGAGAGGCAGTGGACTCGGAAGAGCAGGTGGGATTCAGATGGAAAACTAGAAAATGTTGCAAGATTTGTTCCTATGACAGCGATGCACCTGCGTAGTTTAGAAGGTCACGCCCCACGTGGAAATTGACGTGAGTGCTCACAATAGCATTATTTTTGGCAGCTGGCTGTTCCTCCCCGGTAGAATGGACAGAGTAAGGCGCAGCCCTGCGGTGGAATAGTATTGAGCCACGTAAAGGAACGAAGCGCTGATCCGTGCTGCAGCAGGGCTGAGTCTTGAAAACACGTTAAGGGGTAGACGCCCGACACACAAGGCCGTCTGCCGTGCTCAGGAGAACCCATAAGCACAGACAGGTTGGTGGTTGTCGGGGACTGGGGGTGCGGGCAGCGGGCAGTGAGGAACGGCTAATGGGAATGGAGTTTTCTTTTTGGGGCGATACAAACGTCCTAGAATTAGATAGTGGTGACCATCACGTGCCTTTGTGGATGCACTAAAACCACTGAGTGGCACACTTAGAAAAAGTAAATTTTACGGTTTGCAAATTACATCTTAATTAAAAAAAAAAAAAACCAAAAACTCTCCCTTGAGGAAACTGAGCGTTGATACCATTTTCAGATTAAAGCAATTTTCAAGTATTGTCGTTTTCATCTAAATAGTGGAACCCACAAGGTAACCAGCACTGACTGCGTTTGATCTTTAAAATTTTTTTTTTAACGTTTATTTATTTTTGAGACAGAGAGAGACAGAGCATGAATGGGGGAGGGGCACAGAGAGAGGGAGACACAGAATCGGAAGCAGGCTCCAGGCTCTGAGCTGTCAGCATAGAGCCCGACGCGGGGCTCGAACCCACGGACCGCGAGATCATGACCTGAGCTGAAGTGGGCCGCTCAACCGACTGAGCCACCCAGGCGCCCCTGCGTTTGATCTTTTAAATTCAGATGCACTGCATCGATTTCAGCCCCCTTGTTTAACAAATGCAAACAAACATTTGCCATCTTGGAGGAAAGGAAAAAAAAAAATGGTCTCACTAACTAACTGATGAAAAGGAACAGCCTCCTGTCCCCCCCCACCCCCACCCCACCCCAGACCTGCCCTGGTGCAGCCGTTCTGAAACTTGATCAGCTGTTTATTTGTCACACCTGGTATTTCCAGTTTAAGACACAATTCTCCGACAGCTTTTCGACTGCCTGTTTCAGACACGATCTGTTGACTTGGCGTTGACCACGGTAGTCTCTGCTGGGCCGCGTGGTCTCCCCAACCACACTGCCTTTCTTGTACAAGTCTGCTTTTCCCGGAGCTGTTCTTTGCCCCAGTTTGTCCTTTGCCTGGGTTTCTTTGAAATCACCAGTTGCTTTCTAACATACTCCTCCTCTGCCCTCAGCTTCTCTCGCATGTTTTCTGCCTGCCTGGACACATCAGTCCCTTGTCTGTGCCTGGACAGTGCCCCCCGTCCTGCTCAAATCCAGAGAGGTTTCTCTTTGTCTACGGCGTGGCCTCTGTTTTGACTTCGCTACCACTCGTTCTGGGCTTCCCTCTTGGTTGGAGCACCTTTTCTTAGTAGGTCCCTGTCTTTTCTGTTTTGGGTTTACCTTAAGTCTGCGGAAGCATATTTTCTAGAAGTTTCCTAAGAAAGGCTATGTGGGAAGTTTGTGTTCTGAGTTTGCGCATTAGAGAGTGTCTTGACGTGTCCTTAACCCTTCTTATTTTTGGGTTTGATATAAAATTCGTTCAGTAAAGTTTTCTTGTGATTTTGAAGGCTGTTTCACTTGCATTATGTTCATGAGGTCCCCCCACTGTGTTTCAGGGAGCTGGTTTGTTCATTTTTGCCGGTGTGTAATGTTTCATTGTTTGAATGTATCACAGTGTTTACAAATCTCCTCCACTCTTGATGGGTATTTAGGTGGTTTCCAGTGTTGGGTTATTGCTACAGACGCGGCTCTGACCTTTCATATTCACACTTCCTGGTATTTGTGGGAAGGGCACATCCCCGGCAGGCAGCTCTTGTGGAAAACTCAGTTTGCGGGTCCCCCCAGCGCGCCCCCATGATCTGTGTGGCCCCTCCGTCATGCACTTGCGTCTGTGTGGGGCTCTGCCTGGGCTCTTCTCGTTCTTCGCCTTCAGGACCACACTGCCTTCTAATCCCTGAAACAAACCGGTGAAACCTGCAGGCGTTGTAGTTTGCAGCAGCGGCAAATCCGGAGAGCTTCTGGAAAGAAACTGACGTCTCTCGTGTAGGAGTCACGAATACGGCTTCTCCCTTCGTTCATTATGGCCTCTTTAAAGTCTTGCAAGTACGTGTTAGGATTCCTTTTGGTAAAACTCTTGCACACTGTTGACAGATCAGTTCTGTCTGCTGTCTGCTGTTCTGTAGTGTCTGCTTCCTGTGGGGCGCTAATCTACTCAAATGCATTTGTGCTCTGTGTAGTGATATTGCTGTGACCAGCAGCCTTGTTCAACCCCGTCAGTGATTGTAGGAGTTCATCTTTAAGGTTTTTTACCTTTTCTGTGTGGTCAAACCAACTGTGATATAATGATGGGTTTTTTTCTTTCTTTCTTTTTTTTTTTTTTCCTAACCTCTTTCCATTCCTTATGTCTTCTCTTGCCCTGTGTATACTAGCTAGGGCATTAGGATTCTCCCGGGCTCCCTGGTTGAGAAAGATTGGGCTGGAACATCCTCTAGCTGAGTTCAAAGGCAGATTTCTTCTCAGTCTTAATGGAGAAGCTTTCAGCTTTTCCCTACAGAGTATATAACGTGCAGTATAAATTGTACGTACCCTTCATCCTGTGACAAGAACATTCCTCTGCCTCTAGTTTTCCAAGAGATTTTTTTGCTGTTGTAAATGGATGTTCCATCATTTGGGCACTTTTCCTGCACACACACGTGTGCACAGGCACACGCGTGTGATCCTACCGCATCAGAGGTCCGGGCCACCCCTGCCCCGGCCCCAGCGCTGACCAGCCGTGGTTGGAAACGTGAAGTGTGCCCTGGTATAGAACGTGCACTGCACTTTGAAACCTTAGTACAAAGAAAATCATGCAGAATGTCCTATTAATTATTCATTAAATTGGTCGTATGCTGAAGCGTCACAGATTATGTTGGATTAAAAATTTATTATTAAGGATCATTTTACCCGTTCTTTTAGTTTTTTGACATAGCTGTTAGAAGATTTAAAATGACGTATATGCCTCACGTTTTAGTATCGTTGTGGATAACACTGGCTACACAGACCCAATGCTTGTCGTACAAATTTGGTTTGTGACGACAATCGCTGTCATGTATTCAGGGCTTCCTGGACGGATGCACTGTTCCAAGCACTTTCACGGTAACCTCGTGAAGTGGGAGGATTTTCTCCATCTCCTAGAGGAGCAAACTAAGAGGCATGGAAAGAGGACGCAGCTTCCACACACAGAGCCTAGAAGGTGGGACGTCCAGGACCGCCCTGTGGGCACTTGTCTCCTGGGCCTGTGCTTTTAGTCACTGCCTGTCCTGACCGTGGTGACGTCTCCCATCAGCGGGAAAAGGATGTGCTTCTTGACAAATGGTGATGGCACTTGACTATGCAGTCAGAAAAAAAGCTTAAAAATTCAGATTTCCTTTGTCATTCTGTACTTAAAGGAACCAAAAAAACTCCAGATGGAGTATAGATCAAAGCATGTATACTTTAGGGGCGCCTGGGTGGCTCAGTCGGTTAAGCGTCCAGCTTCAGCTCAGGTCATGCTCTCACGGTTCGTGAGTTCGAGCCCCACATCAGGCTCTCTGCTGTCAGTGCGGATCCTCTGTCTCCCTCTCTCTCTGCCCCTCTCCCTCTCCCCCCCAAATAAATAAACAAACATTAAAAAAAGTATATATACTTTATATACATGTTTGTGTATGTGTACACATGTATTGTATATACTTTGGTAATTGACTTGAAGGTTTTTCTTTTAAGTATAGAATGACAAAAATATGTAAATATATATAATACATATTATATATACACATACATGTGTATATGTAAATTTTAAAGCGAATATTTTTACAACTTCATTGGAAAGGAACACCATTTCCTAATAAGATCACAAAAACCCAGATCATAAAAGAAAAAATAATTTACAGACTTCATGTGAATGGACTTAACATATAAATTTGTATTGTTTGTTTTATGTGACATAAGTTAAAAAGTTAAGATGTCTCATAGAAGTTAAGACAGTGCAGTTGGAAAAAATATTTGCAACGCTTACAAGCAAAGGATTACTATCCAAAACATACTAAGAGTACCTGCAAATTAATAAAAAGACAAACAGAAAAGAGGACCAAAGATATGAACAGTTCACGGGAGAAGCATAGATAGCCAATAACGGTAAGTGTTGGCCATTCCTAGTAAACGGGGGAATACAAATTATAATAGCCGTCAGATTACCAAAGTGCAAAAGAGCGTTGGTGGAGTCGGGGGACGCGGACATCCTCGTAGTGTGTGGCGTGGAATTTGAGGGGGCAGTTTGGTACCACGGCCCGTGGTGGTACTGCCCAGACCTTGGTTTCCCATCAGCACCACAGTCCACTAAAAGCCGGGGATCGTTGGCGAAATGGTCGATCGCGGGGCTGGGGCAGGGAAAAGTACACAGTGAACCCGCCTCGAAAATCTTCTGATGGCAGAAAGTCTAGAAGTGCTCAAAAAGTGCTGGGGACGGGTTGCAAGCCACAGGAGCCACCGTGAAGCAGCCGGCCGATGGCACCAAGGTGAACGGGCAGGGGAGGACGACGGACTGCTGGGTGGCCGCCCCTCTAGAGCGTCTCCCACGCGCACTCACCAGTTACACAGGGACATCACTTTACAGAAACCCGCTGCTCACCTTTACCACACCTTCAAGGTTGGCGTCACTAGTAAATGGACTCAGCCAGGTCACGGGCCTCCGACATGACGCGCTGAGAACACGACCTTGCCTCTTGTGTCGTTTTGGCCAAAGTGCCCGACCTCAGGGAAATCAGAAAACCTCCAACAAATCCAAACCGGGGAACCTTCTACAAATTAAGGGGCCGGTCCTCTGCCAGGGCTCAAGTCCACGAGACACAAGGACCAGGGAGCTGTCACAGACCGGGGACTGAGGACACAGGACGACCACAGGCAGGGGGACTCCTGGATTAGATCCAGGAGGAAGGACGGTAGCGAGAGAGCTGGAGGCGTCCCTGGGAGTGTGGCCGCCTGTCCGCGCCCAGCCAGCGTTAACTTCCTGGTTGCAGTAACTACTGGGGTTACGTAAGGCGGAGAAAGAAGGTGGTGCTGGGGGACGCGGGGGGGGGGGCCCGGGCAGATGGGGACTCAGGGACTCCATGTTGTTGCCACTTCTCTGCAAGTCTACAGGGATTCAAGACACAGAGTTCAGTGCCCACGCCAGCGCTCTGTAGTGCAGCCCTCCCCACTGTCTTCCCCAGACACCCTTGCGCAAGCACGGAAAGCCTGGTGGAGACGCTGATCTAGCTCAGCCCGTGGCAGCAACTTCAAGGTCATCAGTCGGAAACGGGAGTGCGGCACACACTTTGCCGTGCGGCGTACCGGTTTCCAAAAGTTGAGATCCATACGCTCCAACACAGGGAAATGTCCAGGACCTATTAAATGAAAAAAGTAACCTGTAGAAAAGCACATACCGTGTAACCTTTGTTATGCAGGCCGTAAGAAGGGACTTGTACGTTTTGTGTTTTATATCCTGTCCCCTGGGCCTCTGCCGGGAACACAGTAATCCTGTATTTCTTCTCTAAATTAGA